ATTAAAGATATGCAAGGAGAGTATATCTATACCAAATGGAAATAAGGAAAGGGGTAGTGCTACATGTTTTCGTGTACATAATCATTGACCTCCTCCTCGTAAAGAGGGAGCCTGCACATACCTCAATGTGAGAGGAGTGTCATCTATTATGTGTACCGAAAGTGTATAAATAAACTAATCCATAAGGAAAATGGGTACTGTAAATTCAAAACAAGTTGCAAATTCTCATGTGTTGATACAATTTTGCACAATTTGTTGCTTTGTAGGATGGCTGTCGATCAGTCTATAGCAATTGATGAACTGAAAATTGATTATATTGCTAAAGTGCTTGGTCCGTGTTGGCATGTAAGAAGGGCTATCATATCTAGTATTGTGTAATGAACCTATTTTTCGAGTATTCAGTGCTCTTACGTACAACATGAAGCAAATTAAGTTGCCCATAACCAAGCAAAACAAGCATTTGTTGATTTCGAGAGAGCTTCATTACATTCCAATATTTCGAGTCAATAAATATGATATTTTGTAAAAAGAAAAATAAAAACACGCACCTTCAATTCCATAGAATTGGACTATCATGTTGACGGCCTCATACCCCAACCAAGGTTTATTTCAATGTAAGCATGATCTACATGAGTTGGTTTTTGATTTCCGAACCTACCCATAACCAGACTGATCATCTTGATTTTTCGATTTTACCGACTCAACTCAAACCAAAAATGGTCCAAATCAAACCAAAAGTTTTGGTTAGTCAATTCCAGCTTGAGCCAAATTCAGTCTGTCTGGGCCATTTTAAATTACATTCATCAATTATAATAATAATCAATTTAGTCAATCACAAATAACTAAAGTCCAAACAAAATCTATAAAATAAATTAAAATACTGAATTAATACGGACATGATTATGGACCTGTTTGGAAGCGATTTTTTCCCTTAAAAAATTGATTTTTTGATCGTTATCATATTTGACTTTTTCTCTCACGGTGGACCCTACTTTTTTCCTAACAGTCAAAAAATTAATTGTCAAAATCACTCCCAAACAAACTCTATATTGCCATCAAAGTAATTGTTTGGTTCAACTTTTATATTTATTTAGAATTTACTGGGGAGAGAGATTTTAAAAAAATAACTCCGTGTGTACATTCGAATGTACACGTAATAGAATTGTTTCTGAAATTCACTCCTCCCCGCTTCAAAAATCATATTTAACCACAAATTTTATGATTCAAAATTTTTTCCTTACTTTTTAACTACACGTTCTCCAAAAATGATATTTTTCACTTGAAAAAGCCTTTTCCCAAACAATCTCTTAATGACATAAATGATCACCATTATCCGCACATCACAAAAGAAATATAATCCTATTTAAAGTTATAAATGTAAAGATACATAAAAACAAAAAATGAAATCCAAAGAATGAGTAAAGAAAAAAAATGAATGCTCGAAGTCCGAAAATATTCTACAACAGACATAGAAAAGCCATGATTTGAAGAAGAAATAGAGAAAGCTGAAACTCGAAGATGAGCTTTTCCTTAATTCAGATCAGCTCAAATTCTTGAAATGCCATTAAAGGAAAGTTTTAGCCTAACCTTTTGTTGAAATAATCTACCCAAACTGGTACATTCGGGTTGGATTTTTCGGTTTGTTCAATCTTTGCGATCCAAATACCCAGATCAAGAATCAATTTCCTTCTTGAAGACCAACTTGCCACTGCCCTATTGGTTGAGGACCAATGGAGCAATTCTTTTTACAAGTGGAGGTATAAAGTATGAGCAATGTTTCATGTACAATAAATTTGACAATATTGTTGATAATATGTCTTTGTATAATTTAAAAAACAGCATATTTTTTCAATCAATACTTTTTTATCACACCTATCATTGTCAACAATGTTGTACAAAATCGTTGTCACATTTGTGGAATCTACGGTCGTTACCTTTCGGGTGAGCACTGGGTAAATCCTTATGCTAACACAATAATATATAAATCACGCTAACTCGGTAAATCTAGGGATGAAGTGGGTAGCTCGGCTCGTGCTCGTGGCTCGTTTTTCACGAGCCGAGCTTGAACTCGGCTCGTTGCTCGTGGGCGAGCTCGGCTCGACCACGAGCTCGTGTACTTATGAGCCATGCTCGTGAGCTTGTGATTTTTTTCTTTTTCTTTTTTTTTTTTTGGGCAAATTTTTCAAATTTTATTGATAAAATTTTATTTTTTTCCACTTTTTTGGACGAGTCGAGCGGGCTTTGCTCGTTGGATGCGACCCCCAGCTCAGCTCGAGCTCGAGCTAGGGCTCCTCATTTGACGAGCCCGAGCAACCCGCGAATGACGAGCCCGAGCTCGAGCCGAGCCATCGAGCCGCGAGTCGGCTCGACCCAATTGACACCCCTAGGGAAATTGTACTAGACAAACCCTATACGATAGACTTAATCGAAAAAGTATTAGTTGAGAAAACCGAATTTGTGACCTAAGTTGTCTGCGCATCATTGTCACATTTGTTTTTTTTTTTTTTTTACAAGGTGTCCTATTCTAGACTAATCCTTGGGTCTGTGATCCGGCCCCTCTTCACACAGTCCGGTTAATCGCAGGATGTGCCTCCAACTGGCCAGGGTCCGAGCGCTCCCCACCTGGTCTGACAAAGTGCCAAGCAAGTCAATCCAAGTTGCACCTTGCCTTTCAAGAATAATCATTGCCTTCCAAGTTCCCACTTGCCTTCCAAGAATAAATCCTTGCCTTCCAAATGTTCCCTTGCCTTCCAAGAATAAATTCTTGCCTTCCAAGAGCCCCATGTTTCGAACTCACGACCTCTGCTCTGCCAGGTTTCATTGTCACATTTGTTGATTGATAAAGTATTGGAGCAAGACAGAAAATTTCCTACCTCGACCTAGAGCGGCCAACTGTCACATTTGTGTTCGAGTATAAGAGCAGAAATGGGTCCCATTTCTCCATTTTAGTCAATTCTGTAGAACTGTAGAAGTGACATTTCCGCTTTTCCCTCCTCTCCAGCCTCGGTTATCAAGTCTTCAAATTCCCTTTCGTTGTCCTCTACCGAGAAACCCATAAAAACAAGATTTTCAGCTAATCAATCGTTACAGAAACGCGCACAAATAGAAAAAGGGAGTTGGATGGAACCGAAGTTTGCTGCGAAGCCTACACCAGCAGGGCCATACGTTCCAGGACGCACTGATTTGGATAGGATGCCGGAGACCCCAACTCGGGGAGCCCACCACCGCCGGGCCCACTCCGAGACCTTTTTCCGTTTCCCGGACCTTGATGACATCCTTCTAGACGACGTGGCTTCAAACCTTAACTTTGACCTCCCCCCAAACCCAACATCCCTCCCTAATGGGCTGACGGCTCAGCCGACGTGGTCTAATGACAGTGAGAGTAGGCCCGTAAGCCATGGGTCCCACTTCCGGAGCCTTTCGGTGGACGCCGACTTCTTTGAGGGGCTTGGGTTTGATGGGCCGGCGCCGTCGACGGAGGAGAACAATAAGGTGGGCCAAGAGAGCGGTGGGCCGAGACATAGACACAGCAATTCGATGGATGGATACGGTAGTGCAACGTCGGTTGACGAGGATTCTAGTGCAAAGAAGGCGATGGCAGCAGATAGACTTGCCGAGCTTGCCTTGATTGACCCAAAAAGAACTAAAAGGTTTGACCTTTTCTAGCGTTGACTTTCATTCAAGATATTTCGGATTTTGCTTAAAGATTTATTATTTATAATATTTAACTTTTCATTTATACGGCCTTGAGGTCAAGAAAAATGAACTAGGTCAGCAAGAAAATGTTTTGTATGAGAATAGGTGTTTGATGAGCTATTTCTGAGCTTTTATTTTATGTTTGTTTTACTATTGTTGTCAACATTGTGAACCTAACTTCCACAAAAATCCGGCAAAACACAAGTGGGATTAGCCAATGGGGATGGTATCAAGTTAGTGAATGCTGTTGCATGAAAATCCAGTACAATTTTAGTAAGAAGTTGAAAGCTTCATTTGTTACATGGAGAGAATAGTCATTTTAGTATTTACAGTGAATGAAGAGATGGAGATCTGATAGCCATCTTGGAGAATTAGTGATCTCTCGTCATATTTAGATTCTCCTCAGATTCCAGTTGGCGCTGCACTGCATGACTTGAGCTTTGACGTTTCTAGTACGACCTTGTGCAAGCTACTTGTACCATTATATATTACAATCAGTAAATGAATTATCAATTATGGTTCATGAATTTCTTGCATCATACTTTTAATTTCCAAAACCTTTTTGGTTCAGTTACTTACTTTCTTGACTCTAATGCTGCAATTTGATGCACTTATACAACTATAACTCAGTCCTACCACAATCAAAGAGCCATTTTTTTGGACTTTGATTCTCACAATGATGGTTTTCAAACCCTTTTCAGTTTTTTATATTTGGAGTAGTAGAAAGAGGGAATACAAGTATCCAAAGGCTGTCTACATAATAGAAGAGACATTTGGGCTTGTTTTTCGCGAACAAATTTCTTCCTTAAGCCCTTCCACTTGATACGATAGGGGTTATGGTTGGTTTTAGGGAGTTAACTTTCAATTTAAAATTGAATCTCCCAAACCATATATAACAGCAGGCGGGTCGAGTCAACCCACATGGCTCCCAAGACACATTTTCCAACACTAGGCATTCTAGCTTGGTTGTGGCAGTTAGTTTCCTTGTTATATTATATATTTGACCTGGGCAGAGAGTCGGTGGAACTCTTTGCCCAGTTTCATCTTGCAAAATTTTTAGTTGTCAATGCTGAATTGTCGTCTCATCATATGGGTTCGGCAAGCCACATAGTACATGATAAATAGTATTAATACATTTCTACTTGCTATGTTTTAGGTTTCTGATAAAACTGGGAAGTGAGAAATGGTCTCTTAATCTCATTGCTGTCCTTTTTTATAACTATATTTTTGGATAGCAAATTTACTTGTAATATTGCAAATTGAAGCTGGTTTTTTCTATTGTAGGATTCTTGCAAATAGACAATCTGCTGCACGATCAAAAGAGAGAAAAATTCGATACACAAGTGAGCTGGAGAAGAAAATACAGACCCTGCAGACAGAAGCAACAAAACTATCTGCACAGGTCACTATAGTGCAGGTATACATACTACTTGATTGTCATGTTGTTCTGAAACAATATTAGAAAGCTTTTGTAATTGGATGATGAGTAATACTTAACTTGGTTTGATAATTTTCTGCTGAATGGATGTCATTAATTTTGATATTTGGAAACATATTGTTAAAAATAAAGCACCATAGTTGAAACACTTTAGTCGACATATTAGAATCATCCTTTCATTCATGTCATCTTATTTTCAACTTATTATTTTTGACGATGGACCTTATTATGGAAGCATTATAGGTCATGTTTGTCAATGGTCAATCTTGTGTCTGTAATGCATTTTGCCTCCCCTTTTTGTGCTTTCAGTTGTTAGCAGCAGCAATTGACCTTCAAGGAATTCATTGAAAATTGCTATAAATTCATAGATCGGGTCGACTGATGCATTTTAAATTATAAAAATGTCTATAGGGTCTTTTCCAATTCCTTCTGTGCACTGATTTAAACCATTATTTTTTTTTTTTTTCAAAGAACGTTGTGGATAAAACCTTTTGCCGTCATGCATAAGTTGTCACTCTTCTCAAGTCGAAGGGCCTTAGATTTCTGCCTCTACTAGTCTCTAAATGGCCACCTTTCCAGTTTGATTTATTAGTTCAGCTATTCTCTTCCTATCTCCAATCCTGCCTCTTATACTCTGTTCCATTTTCTAAATAAGTAAATCTTCATTAAGTAATTTAAGCCCTTTGGCCTTACCTAAAACCAGCTGAGTACTCCCCCTTGTGTGAATTCTGATTCCTTCTAGAGGTTCTAAAAATTCCATCTTGTAAACCACATATTCTCAGAATGGAAAGTGGTTTCTGGGGAAGTCCTTTCTGCTATATCATTTACCTGTCCATTCCTTGAAAGTTGAAACCCGCAAAAGGAACACCCTCAAATAAGCCAGATCTATTACTTTATGCACTACCAAATCCCAAATAGTCTTCTCCTGAGACGTGCCTAGGTCAAGGCACTTGGGATTTCAACATAATCAGCTGTGGAAGATTTCATCAGTGGGCGTCCACATCTTCCAGCTTTTCACAGTTGACCCCTGTAAACTACAATTACCTTTACCCGAGGTCAATGAATATCTGGTAAAATACTGATAAGATATGAATGATCGGACAGAAGAGAGTTGTGTCTCATCCCCTTTTGATCCCAAAGATATTTTGGCTGGATAAGAATTGATGGGCATGTCTAGTTTAGTAAAAAGTTCATGCTGGTGCACTTTGTTAGCTGGACGGGAGGGAGAGGGATTTGTTCTTTTGCTTATTTATGTGTTATCCAAACAAAAGAGTGGGTTATGTTAGAAGCGAAATGCACTAAATGTTTTGTGAACCTCTGAGACTTATGTTTACCTTTTCAGATGGTCATTGATATGGAGGAATGAAAGAAGACTATCCATTTAGTTGACCCTGAGTAAGTGCATGGTACGATTTTGAAAATTTCCGAATTGAAGAATTGAATCTGCCACATCTTTATTCTGATACAAAGAGGTCATTATATACAAGATGACTGAGTAATTTCTGCCCTTATTTCTAGCAACTCAGCTAATTCTTAGGCTGTAATTAGCAGAGAAAATCAAGGTACATAATTCCTGATTTTACTCAATCAATTAATTAAGGAAAAAACAAAATATGGAAAGATTGAATCTAGGGAAACAGTAGCTATACAACAGCTATATTACTAGTGGATTTTCAACACTCCCCCTCAAGTTGGGCAGTAGATGTTAATCATACCCAGTTTGGTGTTTAAATCCTCAAAGTTGGACTTAGGCAAGGCCTTAGTCAGAATGTCAGCTATTTGGTGTTTTGTTGGCGTGTATTGCACCAGAATTATCCCATCTTCTACCTTCTCTTTGATGAAATGACGATCTATCTCAACATGCTTAGTCCTGTCGAGATGAACAAGGTTCTTAGCTATGCTTATTGTAGCTTGATTGTCACAGTACATGTGTAATGGCTCTTCATCTTGAATTCTGAGTTCCTTTAGTAATCTTTTAAGCCACATTCCCTCGCAAATTCCATGTGCCATAGCTCTGAACTCGGCTTCTGCACTGCTCCTTGAAACCACAGTTTGTTTCTTTCTTCTCCAAGTGATCAAATTTCCCCATACGAAGGTACAATACCCTGACGTGGATCTTCGATCAGTAATCGAGCCTGCCCAGTTTGCGTCAGTGAAGATTTCTAAGCTCCTCTTTGCGTTCTTCTTGAAGTACAGGCCTTTGCCTGGAGTCATCTTGAGATACCTAAGAATTTGGTAGACTACTGCCATATGCTCTTCCATAGGATTGTTCATGAATTGGCTCACAACGCTAACTGAGAAACCAATGTCAGGTCTAGTGTGTGAGAGATAGATAAGCTTTTCGACGAGTCGTTGATATCTCCCTTTGTCGACTGGTGTCATGTTCTTTCCATTTCCTAGTTTTATATTCAGATCCATGGGCGTATCTGTGGGCTTGCATCCGAGCATTCCTGTCTCTTTTAGGAGATCCAGAACGTACTTTCGCTGAGAGACTGATATGCCATCTTTTGTTCGAGATACTTCCATCCCCAGAAAATATCTGAGTTTCCGTAGGTCTTTGATCTCAAACTCTTTCGCAAGAAAGTTCTTCAGTCTATCCATTTCTTCAAAGAAATCCCCCGCGAGAACGATGTCATCTACATAGACAATGAGAATGGATGATTTTCCTTGAGTTGATCGTTTGATAAATAGGGTATGATCTGAATGACATTGCAAATAGCCAAATTTCTTCATTGCCCTAGAGAAACGATCAAACCAGGCGTGAGGAGATTGTTTTAACCCGTATAATGACTTTCTGAGCCTGCAGACTTTATTATTTGTAGCTTGATTTTCTAGCCCAAAAGGAATCTCCATGTACACTTCTTCTTCAAGGTCTTCATTAAGGAAGCATTCTTGACATCAAGTTGAAATAATGGCCAATCTAAAGTGGCTACAAGGGATAGGAGCACTCTCACAGTGTTGAGTTTAGCAATTGGGGCAAATGTCTCCTGATAATCAATACCATAGGACTGTGTGAATCCCTTTAGTACTAGTCGGGCTTTGAATCTTTCTACACTTCCATCAGCTTTATGCTTTACAGTGAATATCCATTTGCAGCCCGCTAGTTGTTTTCCTCGTGGCAAGTTCACTATCTCCCATATATTGTTCTTCTCTAAGGCCCGAACTTCTTCCATAATGGCAGCCTTCCAGTGTGGTATCTCCAGGGCTTCATAAATGTTGTTGGGAACTTGTATCTTGTCAAGACTGGAGACAAAAACACTATATTCTGGAGATAATCTTCTATAAGATAAGTAGGTATAAATAGGATAATTTGTGCAAGATCTCACTCCTTTTCTTAAGGCAATGGGCCGACTATGAGGTGACTTATGAGGAGAAGAGTCTGAATGAGAGTTATCTTGTGATGTTTCAGATGAACTTGGAGTTGGTTCAAACTCATGGAGTTGCTCAGGAAGTGCTCGTTGTGCCGTCTCCTTTTGGTGCCAATTTTCCTTGGAGTAAACACGAAGCTCACTATTTTTGGCAGAAGGGTCGGGATGATTTTGAGGTAGAGTTTTGACAGGAGATTCAGGAGACTCGATGACAAAATTTGGAGATTCATCGACAATGGAAGGAGCTTGAGATGGACTTTCGACAGGAGAAGGTTGTTTTCAATGATATTTCAAAACTGATGTTCTTTTGATGTACTCTCCCCCTGAACATTGGTTTTGGTGTAATAGGGTTGTTCCTCAAAGAAAGTAACATCTATTGAGTTATAGAATCTCCTTGTGATAGGAGAGTAACATTTGTACCCTTTTTGACTTGGTGAGTACCCAAGGAAAATGCATTTGATTGCTTTGGGATCAAGTTTGCTCCTGTTATGAGGATATACATGAACAAAGGTTGAACATTCAAATATTTTTGGAGGAATGGTGGAGATTATGCGACTTTCTGGATATGTTTTCAGAAGAACTTGACTTGGAGTTTGGAATTTTAGGATACGAGATGGCATTCTATTGATAAGATAGGCTGTCGTAAGGATTCACACTGAAGATTCATTCCTCTTTTATTTCTGAATAATGAAGGAAACAGTTTTTCAAGATAAAAGAAATTAGGATGGCCTAGTCGATAGTGTAATAACATAATCTCACTATCCTTATTTGCGGAAAAACAACTTTTGTGAAAATGACTCAAAGAGATTGCCTTGTGAGCTTGTTCTTCCAAAGGATGGTCGTCCTTGAGGAGATAGAGTCTCGAGTACACCTCAGCATTGCCAATCATCTTCCCCGAATCCGAGTCCTGAAATGCACAAAAATTTTGGAAAAATTGAGCAACACAATTCTTATCCCGGGTGAGTTTACTAATTGACAGTAGATTACAATTAAGGTTTGGTACAAGTAAGACAGAATGAAGTGACAGTCTCAGAAATTGTAACTGAACCATAGCTTTCTACTTTTGAAATAGACCCATCTGCAATCTTGACTGAGTGATTTTCTTTGCAAGGTTTAAACTCAGTAAGTAGAGTCTTATCACCCGTCATGTGATGTGATGCTCCCGAGTCAATAATCCAAATATTGTTTCTTTCCATGTAAACATTTAAGGCTTTTGAGAAATTACCTTTCTGAGCTAGGGATCCCGCAGCAACAGTGGAAGAGCCAATGGATTGGCTAATCATCTTCTGTAGAAGTTCAAGTTACTCTTTGTTAAAGAGAACTGGTTCAGAAGTGCTATTTTCATTAGTTGAGGATGTGGAATTGTCGCGATTTTCATGAGATAAGCGTGAGGGCTTCTAGTCGGCTGGTTTCCCATGGAGCTTCCAACATGCTTCTCTGGTATGCTCTGGTTTTCGGCAATGATCACACCAGGGCCTCTCCTTTTTTATCTTGCTATCTGGGTTACTTGGTTGAGGGCCGCGTATGGCTAGGGCTATTCCTTTCGTGGTGGGCTGATCGTTTGGAGTTCCCAACATCACCTTTTTTCGGCTTTCTTCTCTTCTTACCTCCGAGAAGGCTTCTCTTAGACTTGGTAGACGCTTTGTGCCCAAAATCCTTCCACGTACCTCATCCAAATCTTTGTTAAGTCCCATTAGAAACTTGAACACCCGTTTTTTCTCAATGTTCCGCCTATACTGAATTCCATCATTTGGACTTTCCCAAGTGTGCTCTTCAAACATATCTAACTACTGCCAATAACGAGTTAGATTATTATACTATTGGGTAACAGAAGATTCACCTTGTCGGCGAAGGATCGTCTCCACACGAAACAATTCGGCGGTATTTTCATTACTGGAGTAAGTTTCTTTTGCAGCATCCCAAATCTCCTTGGCAGTACCATATAGTAGGAAATTTTCACCTATATCATTGATCATGGAATTGATCAACCAGGACATAACCATGCTGTCCTCGGCTTTCCATGATCTATATTTGGGGTCTTTCTCTCCTGGTGAGGCCGAGAGACCCGTGAGATGATCATCCTTGCCTTTTCCTCGGACAAACATGAGAACGGATTGAGACCACTGTAAGAAATTGTGCCCATTCATCTTGTGACTTGTGATTGGAATAACACCGCTGCTATCTCCACTGTTTCCAGTCACTGGAATTTCCTGACTGGAGTTGGAGCTTTCTCGTTCGATTGTCATACTATATTTCGTCATAAAGAATGATCATGAGGTGATAGTGATGAAAGAAGGGAAAAAAAGATGAATAGAGCGAGGAAAAAATTGAGAGAATAGGCTGGAGAGGGATGATCAGTTCAGAGAATATGGCTTTGATACCATGAAAATTTCTGAATTGAAGAATTGAATCTGCCACACCTTTATTCTGATACAAAGAGGTCATTATATACAAGAGGGTTGAGTGATTTCTGCCCTTATTTTTACCAACTCAGCTAATTCTTAGGCTGTAATTAGCAGAGAAAATCAAGGTACATAATTCCTGATTTTACTCAATCAACTAATTAAGGAAAAAACAAAATACGGAAAGATTGAATCTAGGAGAACAGTAGCTGTACAACAGCTAAATTACTAGTGGATTTTCAACGGATTTAGTTATTTTGAAACAATGGTGGCACAATGTGAACTATATATGTTGATGGGGGAAACAGACTTTTTTATTCCACTGCAAATAGAAAGAACATATTAAATATTTCATCATGTGATTCTGGGATGACATTTTTTTCGTCAAGCTTCCAATTTGCAATATGTGATGTAGGACCATAAACCATGGAACAAATTCAAAACCTTAAAGTAAACTAACAGTAAATTCTAATAAATATTTCAATTGTCAATTCATCAAAGGTGCCAAAATTTTGAAATGCCCTTGTATATATAGGCAGGGTTACAAATATAATAATTAAACAATGGATAATTAAAATGACCAAATGTATTGATAAGACCAAAAATTGGTAGAAATTGCATCAAGAAAAATCCTAATATAAAGTGAAATACAATAAAATGTCAATATGAATGACTAATTGTAACAAATCTAATGCACTTGTTGGCATAATTCGTTAAACACTTGTGTTGGGAAAAGCAGACATTGATTTGCAAAATATCATTGCTTCTGTGACAAAGAGAACAATTATGTTCTGCTCCAAATGATTTCTTTCAAACAACAAAGATAAATTTAAGATCGCCGTCAAATAGAACTGACTTCTTAACTGTAATTACACATCATACTGCTTTCAGATTCAAAACCCGAATTCCAAGAACATAAGCTGGTTTAGTTGTTGGATGGGTGGAGCCTAATATAGTGGACACTTTTCCCCTTGACTGTGGATTGAGCCCTTGAGGAGACACTTTTTAAGTGTTGTAGGGTACTTTGGAAATTCACACATGTATTAAGTTGATCTAAATTTTTGTTCCTATATGAGAGGTATTAGAGAGAACCTCCTTTTCGTGTGGTATAGAAAAATAGAGCTATTGGTGAGTCCAAAAACACATTGTAATAACCTTCTTTGTTATAGAGAAATTCTGAGTGATTGCATTAAGTTGATTGTAATAACCTTCTTTGTTATAGAGAAATTCTGAGTGATTGCATTAAGTTGATTGTAATAACCTTCTTTGTTATAGAGAAATTCTGAGTGATTGCATTAAGTTGATTGTAATAACCTTCTTTGTTATAGAGAAATTCTGAGTGATTACAATGTGTTCAAAAACACATTGTAATCACCTTTGGAGAAAGTTGAAAGCAATTAATCACATTGTAATTGCATTATGTTGGTGTAGCTCTCACAATGATTGTGAACCACTCTAAATTCTTTGTTCTTAATTGCTTTTGACTTTCTCTGTTTTTTGTGTTTTTATTGCTCCTGGTAATATAGATCCGCGATAATCCATAACATTAACATCATTTCAGATTATCGGATATACTCTTCACAATGTTTGTACATGTCCGGCTCAGCATTTCAACAAACTAAGTTCTGTTTACAATAAATTTGTCGTCAGTTAATGAATCCTCTTTGCTCACACTTTTAGGCACATTGCTAAAGATTCAAAACAACTAGATCCTTAGCAAATAGCGACCACACAAAACATGTGACATTTTATCCCTCTTCTAATGTGTTAGATGAGATGGCCTCCCTCCTACAAACAGATACAGCCAAACATTTTAGGATGGAAAATTTTAATTGTTCTCAGTTTGGTATTTGTATCTTCACTCATGAGTATTTTTGACTATGCAGGAAATAAAGATTATCACTTGAGCTTATGGCTTACTTATTTCTGTATTGCTTGATATGATGCAGAGAGACTCTACTGGGTTGACTGCTGAGAACAAGGAACTCAAATTGAAGTTACAGGCTCTCGAGCAACAAGCTCACCTTAGAGATGGTATGGGAGATCTCAAATTGTATGGATTCTTGAAATAGCTACTTCATTTATGCATTGATTATGTTTCTGCAGGCATAAGAACTTTTTTCCCTATTATTTCGGTGAAAAATCAAATGTTATACCATTTTTTAAAAAAAGATAGCCGTGTTATGTTACAAGACTGGTTTTCAGGGGGAAAAAATTGGATAGGATTGGTTTATGTCAGATATTAATGTGATGATTTTTGAACATGAAGAGATAAAGAAGCCACTGAAATTACTGTAAATGCTATCGTAAGGTATAAAAGAGATAATATTGGTACAGTTTGATTGTTCTTGGGCTAAAGAATCCGTAAAGTCATCATAGCGTGGCTACGTGTTATTGTTACTTCTATTAGAAAATTATCTATCAAAATTTATTGTTAAAAGCTGTGATTATTGATAATTGAAATCCGTTTAGTACCTCATAGGATTGTGGAAAGACTCGGAAGCAATTAATTTCTGATAAAGAAGCTGTAGAATTCTTGAATTTTCAGCAATGTTGAATCTTTTATCGAAACTGAGAGGTCTCAATCTAAGAGCTTCAACTTAAAGCATGTTTGAAAAGTGTTCATAAAGAGTTTAAATTATAAATAGATAGAAATAGTGGTGGATAAGTACATAGTCCTTGTGCGTCCCCTGGAATGTGTGGATAAAGATTGGTTTGAGTGTTTATATACAGTTGATAACCTGAGCCAAACATAGGCTTAGTCGGAGCATGCCTTTTTGGTAACTAGGCCAAACATGCTAGTACTGTATTGTATTTATATGCACATAGTTGTTCATGTAATCTTTGTGAATTTCAGCTCTGAGTGAAACATTGAGGGAAGAACTGCAGCGTCTGAAGATAGCAGCAGGCCAAATTCCTTCTACTAATGGAAACAACAGAGGATTGCGACCCCCATTTTCATCCCAACCACAGGCTTTCAATCCTTTCAGTAACTACCAGGCACAGCAGCAGTTTCAAATGCCACATTCTGCCTCTAATAACCCCAGCCTGAGTATGCAGCATCAACCTAGCTATGGGGATTTCAATCAGGGAGTCTAAAGACATCTCAGAGACCATACCTTCTAAGTCAGTATCTAGAAATGGGATGAGAATGCTAGGCTCATTGAACTTTTGGCGAAATTTCATGTGTCATTATCACTTTGTACAGTTGGGTCACCAAACTTCAAGTTTGTTACAATTTGGTTGTTCTGCCCATGTCCATTAGTTTGATTAGTGAAAAAGATGGCGAGGCAGTGCATTTGAAAATTAATCGGACTCTGCCATGTCAACTTTTGTGCTGATCAAAGTATGTCATGTGCAGGGAGTAACGGAATTATATCAAATTTGAGTTCAGTGACCAACTTGAACGACTAAAAAGGTTCGGTAAAAAGTGTAGTGACCCAAGTGGATTTAATCCATTTAGAAATGGAAAATAATTTATTGCAGTGGGAGATTGTATATATGAACATGTATACATGCATATATTGTAGCTCGAGTGTTAGGTATGATGGAGTACATAGAGCATGTTATTTGAATCTTGATTTGAATTGCTGGGGAACAGATTCTGGCTGCACGTTGGGTTGGGTTAGGCTGGGTTTTGGAGCAACTCGAACCGGACCAGCTCAGTTCTCTAAGAGTAACTTAATATAGATGCATGTCTACGAAGAAAAAAAAAAAAAGACGAGAACAAGCAAATCCGTGTTTGGGTGTTACTTTTACACTTCCGGAAAGATTATTCTGGGTTTGGTTTTATTTTACCTTGTGCCCTCGTCGGCTGCAGATCAAATCGCGAAAAGATTTGGGCAGAGGTTTAGCTCGCCAAGCCTGCAGTAGAGGGGTCAAGTGGTTTAATTCAGTTCTATATAGACTTAAGCTCAACAATGTCATCATAAAAGACGATTCAATACAAATAAGACTTGAGCTCCTTGACAGATGAAATGTATAAAAAGCATTACAGATGTACATGTGGCAACACTGTATGGCTGATTTAGTTATTATCTTTTTGTTTTACATCCGATAAAATGGTCACTTGTACATTTGTCAAAAATATTGTCAAACACTTTTGTACATATAGCAATATTGGACAAAAAATGGACGAGTGCTACGACCATTACAAGAAAGAATGAAAATAAAATAAAAAAACAAGGGAAATATTGGAACGCAGAAGTGAAATTATCCAGAAATTAAAAATTTCTTTAATTCAATAAACAAGATCGTAATCATGAACTTCTAGCTTTTTGAATCACGAACTTTTCGGCCTTTTAATTCCAAAAAATTGATGCTTCAAGCCTCCAAGTATTCTATGTTATTCTCCATAGTCAAGACAACACCGATGGATAGGTACCTCTTTTTAATTAAATCAAGAAACTAATTTTTGAATTGAACAATTGGATAAAGTAAGAAAAATAATTTTTCCCATTTTTCTCTCTCTTCAAATTTGAACACTATGAAATTATGTATTATGATTGTTGTACAATTCCATAGGATATTCAGTTTTAATCTAATCTCTATTTATAGAGATAAAATAGTTACAATTCTCTTATAATAATAATTTCACATTCAAATAAGAGTTCTAATTAAAATCCAAGAGTTTTTATTAAAGTCAAAATTCAATTAGTTTACATTTAATTACATGTGTAGTTATAGAACTTTAATTATAATTACAATTAAATTTATAACTTTCATAGTAATTACAACAAAGTACAAAAACTGTATTGTAATTACAACTTTCACAGTAATTATTGAACTCAAATTTTAACCATTCAACAAAAAATACTTAAATAGTCACTCTATTCATTTTTAGGGTGACGGTTTATGACACGAATTCATGTTCTCTACTTCGCTCATTCTCAAGTTTTTAACTCATTGAGTTATTTGATCAATCAAATTGATCTCACTCATTGATGAATTAAAGAACCACTAAAATTACAAAAGATATACATATCCCTATCAAGGGATTTAGATGAAATACACAGTGACCAAGTGAAATTTAATTCTTCGCACGATCATGCTATAGAATTAAATTTGACACATGGTCCGTTCAATACGCTCCAAATGTACTAGTATCATTTTTAAATATCTATGTGATAAATATAAATTAAAAACCTGATTGGTGAATTGTTCAACACTACAACCTTTCAGTACAAGGTGTCAACTTTTGTACATTGATTGTAAACAAATTATTTATGATAAAAATATAAGTTGAGTCACACTTTACTTCTCAATTCAAATATCTAACTTATATTATCACAAGTTACCCTAGGCACTTTAATTTGCATATTCAATATAAATAAATGCAATAAATAAAACCACAATTTTTAATTATGAATTATTATTTTATCATGTAAAATATACTATATGAACACAATCCAACAGGAAAACACACTACGCCCTCTTGTCTTATGGCGTAATGTTCATGTACGTGCTTGATTTACCCGCCTTTTTATTCACTGGACAACTTTTTTGGACCCTTCGTAGGACTCCTTTTATAGCGACTTATGAGTAATAATATTTTTACATCACTATCAATTCTTGTCTTCTTTAACCCTAATTCAACATCCATTACATATATAAAATATGCATAGGACCTTTGTGCTTTCTCCTTTATCCAACTTGTGGACGGTTTGCCACTGATATTTTTCTATATATTAAATTTATGTCACAAAAATGATAAAGAAAATTTGGGTTAATTTCACAAACGATCACTGAACTTATCTAAAAATTTCAAAACGATCACTGAACTTACGGGGTGCTTTCACTAACGGTCACTAAAGGACCTTTATGATTTTAATTCAAACTTAAAGGGTCAGAACACTTGAAAATAATACCTTGAGGACCAAATCGCTCTAACCAAAAATTGCCAAATTCCTCTACACACTATTCGCCGACGCCGAAAATTGGCAAATTCGACCACCATACCGCCGGAATAACTACCGACTTTTTACACCACCAACACCTCCTCATCCCCCATCACAATCCTATACCAACAATTAACCAATATACATCAAAAATTAAATGAAATTCAAGTTCAAAAAACCAACCCACGCAAGGTTATACCCCCGAATTCCAACCAACCCATCATCACCCATGCCAAAACTCCATCACAGGCTATTAGTACTCCCCAAGACGAACAGGTACATGGTCCATACCATCACAAAACAATTTAAATTAGGATATAACTCATACCAGTTCTCCGGTAGCGAAGAATGCACTTTCCGCCCCAATTTTCGATGCTGACATCAACAATTACGGTCGCGCACCACCACCATTACCTTCTACTCATCATGAAGAACAAGATGCATGTATGGGTCCTCGCCAATTTATCTTGAATTGGCCGACATTGGAGGTAATACCGTGCGTGGGGGTGGTTTTTTAAGCTTAAATTTCATTTGATTTGTAATGTGCTTTGGTTAATTGTTGATATAGGATTGTGGAGGGGGATGAGAAGATGTTGGTGGTGCAAAAATCCGATAGTAATTCCTGCAGCATGGTGGTCGAATTTGGCAATTTTCGGCGTCAGCGAATATGGTGTAAGTGGGAGAGAAAATGCTTGATTTCTAAATTCAGGGTTAGATTTTGACCAATTGAAATTAGATAGAATTTAGGTCCTCAAGGATCCAATTCACGTGTTTTGGTCCTTCAGTGACCGTTAGTGAAAGTGCTCCATAAGTTCAATGACCGTCTCTACAAGTTTTAAATTTCAGTGACGTTTTTGAGATTTTTAGGTAAGTTCAGTGACCGTTTGTGAAATTAACCCAAGAAAATTTAAGCCTATTTGAGCTTCATTCTCAAAAAAATTAGTTTTTCTCAAATTTATTTTTAATTATAAATTCTTCAAATAAAATAATTTTTCACCTAAATCCAAATTTTTTCTATTTTTAATCACACATTTTCTAAGAAATCATAATTACAAAATCTGTTAACCAAAAAAATAAATAAATAAAGCACGAACAGGAGCTAAATTGATGGGGAATCCAATTCTTTTGATCAATGTTTAGGTTTTCATTTATTATTATTATTAAAATTGCCTAATTCAAATAATTGTATCATTTTTTTATTATTATTGGAAATAAAATATCATTAATATTTTTGAAAATAAAATTTAAATAACTAAATTTATTTCGTCTTAACAGTAGGTGGAAGATTAACTTTCTATATTTCGAATAACTTGGGGATCCAAACTGTAATTATTTCGATATATCAGACAAATCCTTGGAATTCCAAGAATTAAGAATAATGCTATTTGCAGTGAAAACTATCGACAGTCGCTTTATGTGACATACACTTGGCAGTTTTTATTTGATGTATAATTTGAAAAAGAACTACCATATCTATGTATCAAATATCAAATTGTCAAGTGTATACCACATAGGGCGACTACCGACAGTTTTCACTACGAATAGCATTACTCAAGAATTAAAGCGTCATAATTCAACCTCGATTACAAGAAAGCCACGTTGCATCCATATGTAAGTCTACTTATCGCGATTATCCTTCCAACGGTGGCCCAATCATTTGCCCTTTGTGACCAAACATGTGTGTGACGACTTTAATAATCGGTTGTCAGAAGTGGTTGGTGTACATATATATTTTACACCATCATTTATATTTTGCCATGTGTCATTATATTATTGGACAATTTAGAAAATAAAACAAATTTTCATCCAATTTGATAATATAAATGATGTCAATTATGATGTAAAAAATGATGTACAAATTACATAGTTTGCTGGCAATTGCCCATACATCCAGCATTTGGACAACCAAAAATTCTGCATTATCTTGTAAAAAAGTTCACTAGGGCCATGTTTGGCTACACTATTGACCAAAACTAAAATTGAACCTATTTTTCTTTTAAAATTAACATCCAGTTCATTTTATGAAAGATGTCATAAGAATATATTTCAAAATGATAGTTTTATTCTTTAGTTATTTTTCAAATTAAAAACATAGTATAAGAAAAAATAACTTATTGTAAACTTTCCATCATGTACGTTATATAAGATTAGTTGAAAAGTCTTTTTAACGACAGAACATGTCTAGACAATCATAAAAATATTGAACTCGTTCATTTAGATAAAAATAGTAAATTTTGATAAAAATTGATGGAATGCATAATTGAAGCTGTGAGACCTAAAAATATGAAATTAAAATGAAAAATTGACTATGACTAAGATTTTAATAAACTTTGTAATTGAATCAAAGAGAGATTAAATTTATCTGAAACTTTTAGGAATGCACCTTTCAGAAATTTTTCTAATACGTTAACAAAGCATCCTCTATCAAAAACTAGGATGAGTATATGATAATCTTTATTTGGTCAAGAACAACATCGTTTAGAAAATGAAAAGAAATAACAGCCCCCCGAGGCACAGCTCAACTGGTGAATCAATCAACATTGTCTTACTTCCGGCGGCAGGGTGGAGAGTTCGATTCCTGGTGGGAACCTGCGGCCAAAAAATTTGGTATGGAGCAATCACTGTGGAGGAGGGTCTCTTGTGCGCAGAAGTGTACAGTCAATGGGGGGAACCTGTGATCCAATTGAGGCATAACCCGCGATTTACCTCCTCCAAGGTTCTAGGCGCATGGGTCTTGGGGGTCCAGGATTTAGTTTGGTATAAGTTGGGATACCTTGATATCAAAAAAAAGAAATAACAACACATAATCACTTACATTGGCGGACCTACTCATAGTCCTGGTAGGTCAAACTTCAAGATTTATTTATTATTTTTTTAGAGCAAAAAATTAGAATTGGGCAATAATGGCAGTTTGGCTTTTTTTTTTTTTTTTTTTTTTTTTATTAGAATAGAGTTATAGCAATGATCGAACAATTGAGAGAGTGAGAGTTGAGATTATTTTGTCATCAGCAATATTTAACTTAAGAATTCTTTGAAAATTTTTCTTCATCGTATATGTGAGATTATTTGAAATTTTTTGAAAATTGTTATTTATCATATATATGGGATTTATGAACTTGTGATGATGATAATCTATATGTGTTCTTGTAGAATACATAATTTTTAGTAATTTTTTAATAAGTTTGATTGTATCCCACTAATTATAATTTTTTGCTTTCGTCACTGATTATTTACGTTGTAAATTTGATTTTTACTACTCTCTATTTAAAAATATATTGCATTTTCACTTTACTTTTGGGAGAATAACTCTCTCTTAAATTTAGCTCTCGTTTGATCTTCATTATTTGAAACTTTAACGGTTAGAATGATATTTTTTTTAAAAAAAAATGTGATTAGAAAAGAAGAATTTTTTTTGAGATTATGTGTAATATTATATTATTGAGGAATGTGCGAATGATAAAAAGAAAGATAAAAACGAATTATAATTTTAATAGGGCCCAAACATGGAATCATCATCGGTGGGCAAAATATCTTTTACCCTCTATGAAAAAAAGATCAGCACTATAAATTTAAAACTCTTCTATTCTGCCACTAGATCTTTTTGTGGTAAAAGACTAGTCAAACACAGTTGTGCTCCGTGTACAGCTCCTACACCCCTCTTACAATGTAGGGGTTCACAAGTATAATATTCATGTGAACCCCTCACATTTTGAGAAGGTTGTACCATGATATACAATAAGCTTTATTGTTCTCATAATTCATGCGTAAGAAATCGTTGCCCCTCCCCGTGGTTTTGTGTCCAACTCCAGTCTTTTCAGTAATCTCGTCTTTTTAAAAATATTTTACCACTGACCTCTAACATATTTCTTTGGTTATGTTTGAGTCCCATTTTTTCAAGAAAATGTTTTCAATTCTCATTTTCAAACACACATTCTTTCATAAAATAATAATATAAGTATTTCAATTTTATTTTATTTTTACTTTTTAACCACACCTTCTTTAAAAAATCACTATTCCATAGCACATTTTTCCTCAAAAATGGAGATCAAACAAGGGATCTATGACAAATTAACTCTCGTATTTCAAAAAAAGTAAATTAGTCTTTAAAGTCCAATATTGGAAACTAGTTTCTATCAAGCATTTGATTGATAAATTTATAAAAAAAATATTAAATGCATGGATAACAAAAAAGTAATAATTATAAATGCATGATTGTGTTAATATATAACTTTGACTGAATTTATGAACGGTTTAAAATTTGACTTTCAAATGAAGGCTAAATCGTCGTATAATTTTAAATGAAGTATTCTTCACTTCAAATATCTAAACACAACTCTTGCTGTTGATCAAAACTCAACTTCATAAAATTAAAACACGATATTAGACAGAGATGGAGAGAGGTGGATTGACCCAACTTGCCATACCGAGACTTGAGCAACTTTTTCATATTTATTTAATATTTTTACATTGCGTTTTACAATTTTTGGAATCGTTAAATTATCTTCCATTAGTTCGAATTCTTGCTCTACGAATGACCTCATCACCTCAGATGAGGATTTAGGCCCTGTTTTGATCCACATTGTTTGAAAAAAATACATTTTTAAACAGTGATTTGACATCATTTCAACTACAAATTTTCAATAAAAAACATATTACAGATAAATTCAAAATTTTTTCTTATTTTTTAATTACACATTTTTATCAATATACTACTCAAAAATGCATTTTTATGAGCCTAATGTGACTCAAACATGGGCTTAACATATATAAAACTTGAATAGTTTATGAGGACTCACTGTTCATATTTAATGAAAAATTAGGGACTACATTTTTACTTTTTAAAGCTCGATGGCCAATTGTGCAATTTTTCCTATTTTTTGGCTTCCCAGTTTTCATTTTTTAATTACACTTCCAGAACCCTATCCATTCATTGTACTTTTATTTCTCCCTGTCTCACACACACAGTCACTCACTACATTTTTGTGATTTTTTTTATCTTACTAAACTTGACATTCGTCAAACCATCTCTCACTCTCTCTCTCCTTTTCTCTCACGCACATACACACAGTAAATAGCGTTTCTCGAGACAAAATTCGAGTTTACAACAGTAATGGCGGACGAAATTGCCCTTGATTTTCCAGCTGATATCCGAATCAGACTCCACAACACTTTTTAGATTCTACCAACCGTTTGAAAAGATTCCGTTCCTCCGATCATTCATGGAAGTCATTTTCAACTCAGTCAAGTTTTTGAACAAGTCAAATATGTATCTACAACTTTTGATATAGTGTTAAGTAGTTGTGTGTACAGTTGGGGATGGATTTGGTGGAGGAGGTAGGAGAGAGTTCATCGCCGCCGCGGAGTTATGGCAGTTTCGGCGGCGGCGGTGATGTAATCAGGAATGATGTGTACAATCGGCTTATAGAGAATGAAAATGAAGAAGCTCTTGGGAATCCTGATTTCCGGGAACAATTGGAGGCTCACTTCAATCGCCTACCACCGAGGTTGTGCTTGATTGATTAAAAATGTATACGTGATAAATGTGTACTGTACTGCGTCTCTGTGTTTGTGTTTGTGTGAGTAGGTTGGGTTGATCAAATCTTTTTTAATTGCTTTGCGTACGGTATCTGTGGATGCAAGTATTGACAAATGATTCCTACAATGTTTTAGAAAATTCTCTTTTTCAGAACAGGGAAGTAACTTCATCTATGTACGTGCCTGCGTACTTTCGTTTATGTGGTACATGTGCTTTTTATTTTGTATTCTATGTAGCGGTGGACAATTGGTGAGTCTTTGCATTCATATCACATATAAGTCAGTCAGTGGTTGACTGATTCAAATGATCCTGTGATTTTGGCGTTCTAAATTGGAAAACATCTTCGAAATTTGAAGTAGTGAGTGTATCAGATTTATTTATTTATTATATACCCTGACATAATTTCATCTATTTATTTTTTCCAATTTTGAGTTGATATATTTTTCAGTATGAAGGTAAATCGTTCCATTTTAGTACTGTTGATGACAGATTTTTGCTCAATTGCTATCACTCTGTGTTTCAGTTATGGACTGGATATTAATATGGATAGAGTGGAAGACGTATTGTTACATCAAAGTCTTCTTGCACGGGCGAAGGATCCTAATAATCTGCCCATTTTCCACGTTCGGTTTCTAGAGGTATGATATACATTAGTAGTCCTTTTATGATGCTGTGTGAATCATTGCTCTGGTGATATATGCCTTTCACTTTATTCACTTTTCCTTTCTGATTTCAAAACAATATGCTGCTAAGTAATTTCAGATATTTTAGTCTGCAGAAGCAATGCAACTAAACAATAATTGCCCATAATGAAAAACAAAACTCGGGTGATCGTTTGTACTTTTTGGACCTGAATAGTAAATTGATAGATGATATATCTGGTTAACTATATTTATTTGTTGAAGTGCTCAATGATTGAGTGTTGAGAATTCCTTTCGCGAGTCTTGCAGTGGCCTCCCCTTTTTACATTGTTGTTTGTGATCCAGAATCTTGCACTTGTTCTAGCAGGCTCTGGGAACAAAAATACATAAAGCTGCCACTCCAAAGGAACCAGAATTATAGAATCTGGTTACATGGTATGAAGCTTATATAGTGGGGAGGAGAGAAAAATGGTGTTTTGACCTGCCAATAATTTGATAACTCCAAAAACTCTATGAGCGAAGGGAAGAAGAAATTTGTAGATTGAAGAAGCATAGGGTTGTAGCGAGAGCATCTAGAATGAGTAATGCCACATTAAAGACATTGTTAAAATCAAATGTTTCTGATTAATTGAATGGCCTTTGACGTGTTCCAACGCTGAGCATAACATTCACATTAGAGGTATGACTTGGTTATCGCTGTATCATTTAGCTAAATATCCAAATAAATCACCCAGAGCATGTGAAAACTAACCTAAACTGGATGCAAGATAAAAGGTTAACAATCTACAAAAAAGCTTCTCATGGAATCACTCGCCTAATACCTTGGAAGCAATTTTTCTCAAAATAACTAAGCATTACATATTTGTGTCATGATGTAGCTTCGTACAAGCTAAACAAACAATCCTTTTTCCCCATTTTTTGGTAGGTTATCTGTCTCATTTCATTATCTCTAGCTCATGCCTGACAGCTTGCCTTCCATTGTATCACTGGTCAGAATTTCTGCACTGGAGCTGATGATATCGATGGCGAACAAGTTTCAAGTGTTCCTTCTGCCTCGAGACCATGTGACAGGATTGATAATGAAGATGTCCCATCTTTGAATCACGGGTACCTTTCAATGTCAGAGGCTAGTTTATATATTTATTTAGTGATGTTTGGCAAAGCTTATAATTGCTTATGAGGTGGTAAAACTCTATTTTTATCCGAACATTCCGTTGGATCCAGAACTTTTACCCACTTTTAAATGGCACATTTGTTGGGACTTAGTGCCTATAAGTACTTGAAAGCTTAGCCAAGTACTTATTACATTTCCTACCTGCTTGCTTCATCCATTATTATTTCATTATTCTTTTGGTTGGTTATGTTTGTGTCTCTCTGTCTGTCCATATTTCCACCACCTGTCCCTGTCTTTAAATTTCTCTATGATTTAAAACAGAAAATGTGCGGGTGACTTTGAGCCTTGTTCTAAGCTCGAGGATCTAAACTTGGATGTTAGAAGGAATTCTATTGACAGAAACAGGGAAACTCCTACCGAAATTTTTTTGAGAAGGTAATTCTTGTTGAATTTTTTTTCTAATTGTCTTGCTGTTATTTCTGAACTTTTTAGAAGATGATTCCTTTATTATTTAAGTTTGTCTCCTGGTAAAAGACTCAACTAAATCTTTTGTCCTCTTTGCTTTGACCCTTGGCTTGTGAAGGAGACTTACTACAAAGAGATATCTCTGTAAGGTTCTGAGACTCTGAATAGCTTGGATACATTGATTGTTGCAATGGCCAAAAAGTATAAGAAAATTTTAATGGAATTTGAATAAAGTAGATTGAAATGCAAGTTGCAAAACTTGAGTTTGTCCCTGAAGATTTTGAGCTTATCTCGAAATGCTTATCTTAATTACTCTATGAAACAGCACGTGCAGTATTCGTTACAATAGATACACTTATTAAAACGCTTGGCTTAATGACTATGATGGCTACCGTCTTTCGATGCCAATAGTTGATCTAATGGTATACATTCTCGGAGCCTAGTTGAACGTGTTTGACTCTGATTCAAAGATTCGTGCATATGTGATTTTCCTTTCTATTTGTTTCTCTCTCACACCGATAATTAGGATCTTCTATTGTGGGATATGCTTATTCTCCGAAACTGTTATTTTGTAATTGCGTATGAGCTTGCTATTCTTCAGATGTATAGTTGCACTTAATCCATATAATAAATGTACATATTTATCTGTTATATATGTCAAAAGCAAGTTTATCATTGAGAGGTATAATGCAGGCAGGAGGTTCCACATATACCAATACATGAAGTAATATTTTCAACTATTGACAAGCCCAAGCTTCTTAGTCAGGTAAATTTGAGAAGGAAGTTGCACAATTTTTGTTTATAAAATGGTTACTGTTTCCTGTGTGAATTCATCTTGTGATTAACAGGCTTGGTCATTCTGGTGTTGGTGGGTTAATGTTAGTACTGTTTTGGGGTGTATTTTATTCTTTACTTAATATGGCTGATAATATGCACGACACATAAAGCTTCCTGCGAAATTCACTTCAAGATTCTAACAAATGGTGCTTCATCCTTTTATATTTCCAAACATATTCAAATGCTTAGAATGGTTGGTTTGTTGCACTTCACATCGTATTCTATAAGGCGTCTTTTGGCTTCTTTACTGCTAGTTCTCTATCTCTTCTTGTCTTCAGTGTCCATTAGCCAATTTTGATTATTGAGTACAAGCTTTTTAATTTGGTAAAGAATATCAAGATACATTTCATCCTCTTTATGTCTTAATATTTTTCCTTCTATTTGTTTGCTTTCTGCTTCTGCAGCTTTCTGCTTTGCTTTCTGACATAGGACTTAACATCCGTGAAGCGCATGTGTTTTCTACAACTGATGGCTACTCTTTGGATGTGTTTGTTGTGGATGGATGGCCTGTTGAGGTACTTATTGTTTGCAAACCAACTTGACTATAGTATACTAGATTTCATGTAAAACCTTGAAACATTATGTGTCCCACCATGTGCTGGAAGTTAGTGATTGATGCATAATTATTTTCTGATTGATCTTTTTATGTTTTGTTTCATGGGACATCTTCATCTGAATGTCTTGGTCTGAACCAGCAGAAAGTTTAAAGGAACACAGTGATAAATATTGCTTGTGTTTTTTATTCCCTTAAATAGCTTATTTGATAGCAATAGCCTTTATTTTGGCGAATTTGTTTTTGAAATAAGTGGCACACATTTCATGGCAACCGAAATGGAGGTCGTATAGATTATGGTAATGAGGTAGTATTTTCTTTGTGCCTGCACTATGTAGAATATGCTACATTCGAAGCATTTCTTACTTTCCACTGGGGGGAGGCTCATCGCATCAACATTTTGGTGGTTGTTATACAATGTGATTGTTGTAAGACTCTGAATATATTACGTAGGGTGAAGTTATCCGGTTTCCTGTGTCACAGGTATCTGTTCTGACTCCTAATGTTGTTGACTTTGCAAAATTTTATTTTATTTTACCAGGGTACAGAGGGTTTATCTGAAGAATTGAGAAAATCAATTTCTAGAAGTGAGGTAATTCCCCTTTCCATATTTTTTTCA